TATATATATATATACACATACATGTATACATATATACAACAACGTACGTATGTGTGTATATATATACACATACATACATACATACATACATACATACATACATACATACATACATACATATAGATAGGGTTTAAGGTTTAGGGTTTTGGTATATATACATAGACACATACTTCCCCTTGTGGAACCCGGGGCTCCCACCGACACTTCCAGTGAGAGACACCGCCGGGCGACCCCGCAACCCGAAGCTGTCCTGGAGTATTTAGGGTTCAGGGTTTAAGGTTTAGGGTTCAGATTTTGAGGTTTAGGGTTCAGGGTTTAGGGTTAAGGGTTCAGGGCTTAGGGTTCAGGATTTAGAGTTTAGCCTTTGGGGTTCAGGGCTTCGGGTTTAGGGTTTAGGGTGTAGGGTTTAGGCCTTTGGGCTTCGGGTTTAGATGGGGTTGTGTGGGATTGAAGCTTTGTGGTATAAAGCGAAATATCTTAGGCGTAGTCTCGGGCTTTGCATGGTTGAAGTTTTAAGACATAAGTGTTCTAGTTCAGCCTTTAATTAACACGTCGGGATGTAGACCTCAGTCGTCATGAGCAGGCAGAAGGTCTCAACGTGAAACCCCAATCCTTATACTTTAGGGTTTAGGGTTTAGGGTTAGATCAAGCCCCAAACCTTAAACTCATAACCGTGAAGGCCTTAAACCCCAGCTGCACATCGGTTTCGAGATCTGGTTCGGATTGGAGGTGCCGGTGCAGTTCCAGCTTCACGGTTGGGCAACCGCTTCAGGCCACTATTGAGCAAATGGTATTGAAATAAATACTGACGAGGTACATAATATTGGATTACATATTACGGCCCTCTTTCTGTTTACCTGCGCGTAATGTGTGTTGAGCTTCCAGGTTCTGCTTGACAACCTGACTCTCCAGTGACGATTTAGGGTTTAGGGTTTAGGAGATCGCGACAGCACTCCAAACGAAACTTTTCTCGGCGCGACCTCCAAGAATTCTTGCCGTGGTCTTGTGCAGCGGCAGCTGTTCTTGCGACCATGAACCCTTATAAACCGCTTCTTTAACTCTATGTAAACGCTCAAGCCCAAAGCTTTTGTCGGGTTGTGAAGGGTGTTTTGGGAAAACTGGAGCTTTGGGCGCAGAGTCTAGGCTGCAGAAAGTCTTATAGGAGTTTCAAAATCCCTAAACCCTAAACCCCTAAACCCTAAAACCCTAAACCCTGAACCCTGAAACCTAAACCCTAAAACCCTAAAACCCTAAACCCTAAAATAAGTGGTCGAGTTGAGACTTTGGGTTTGGGAGTTTAGACTTTAGGGCTTTCGGGGTTTTCAGGACTCGGGCTCTTCAGGTTTGAACCGATCATGTAGGGGATTAGAGTAGGGGGGTCCTTTAAAGGGTTCTTAAAGGGGTCTGGAAGGGTTACTACAAGGGCTACCTTAGGGCCTACTACAGGGGCTTAGTATAGGGGCCTTCATGATTAGAATAGGGCTTTGGGGTATATTATAGTGTAAGTATCCCCCAAAATAGCATCGGTACATATTGAGGCCCCTTGGGTTTACGGTTTACCGGGATTGGGGCTAAAGCTTGTGCTTGAGGGATTGGGGGGACTTACTCAGCAAGGTTGTAGGTACCTGAAGTTGGGTTGGAAGTAGTTGTCATTATAGTAAATACCTTCCATGATCCTTGAAGTGTAGGGGCCTTAAGTTCCTTGTTATAACTACTATTCTAGTTATTAAGGCTTCAGGAGGCCAACAGAGACACTCCCAGTGGACTCTGCCGACGTCTCAGGGCTACGGCGCAAAGGGCAGCGCCGAGGGGCACCAGGAAGAGCAGAACAGCGACCAAGGCCGGGGCCTCTTGGGCATGAGGCTTCACCCTTACCTCCTGAAGCCAATACTCGTTTTATCCTCATGTGTACATAAACTCTCGACCCAAGCTAAATCCCAAAACCCAAAACTGCACCCTTCAAGCCCTAAACTCTGGGCACGTACTTCGAGGGCCCGGGGACGTACTAAGCACAGTTATAAGTACCCTCACTGGGGGTTGGCTATGAAGTACTTCTGGTTGTAGCTACCTGATTCATAACCCCAGCTACTAAGTCCAATGATCCTTCTTGTAGGGCTCCGGCTCAGTCAGTGTGCGAGGGCTTTCGGGGATGAGGGTCCGAAAGGTGGCCTTCCGAAACCTAAACCGGTCCCCAAAGCCCCACCCTGACCAGCCAACACCCAGCTTTCCAAGGGATTGCATATCATCATCTAGGTTTCCCACTAGCCCTTGAAGAATAAGGGTGCCGCTTTAATGGGGGAACCCCCAAAAGGGCCAAAGGGTCCTACTGGGCAACCTAGTCATGTTTGCATAAGGACTTCATCATATGGGTGGTTTTCTAAATTAGGGTCCCTGTTGGGGTCCTTTTTATCAGGGTGCCATACTACTATTGGGGACCTAAAATGGCACCCTAATTGCGAAAACTACCCATATTCTATCATAAAGAGCCCTAAACCCTAAGCTTTGTAAACAAACCCAAACCCTAAACCCTGAACTCTAAACCTAAACCCTAAACTCTAAACCCCAAACCACAAATTACATCAGGACACCATCAAAGTGTCATAAGGAGCCCTCGACATGCAGGTTACTTGGGGCTCAGGTAAGTGCCCTGCAGCCCCCAAAAACCCTGGACCTAGCTCTCAGCCTCGTTGGCCTGAAACCCCCAAAAACGGGTAGGGTATAGGGTTTAGGGTTTAGGGTTTAGGGTGTAGGGTTTAGGGTTTAGGGTAGGGTTTAGGGTTTAGGGTGTAGGGTTTAGGGTTTAGGGTTTAGGGTGGCCCGAAAGTGGGCCTGGTGTTGCCGCAGTCCGGAAGCCACCAGAGTGACGGGACCGTATGTGACTTCAATCACCTGGCGGCTTTGGGGCATCCAAGCTGCTGATGTAGAAGCCTGAAGAACTACCCAATAGTATTCCTTAGGGTTCCTTATTATCGTTGCCCTATCAACGAGCCCAAAGCCCGATTCCAATTATTAAGGCCCCTGCACTAAAACCGTTCCACTAGCCCTTCTAGTAACCCGTATAGACCCTTTGGACCCCTATTCTAACTATTCAGGCCCCCTATATTGTCCTTAAAGCTTTCTGCTTTGTGTTCTGGAGCTCAGGGGCCTTTGGGCTCTGGGTTTCAATGCCAGCGTGTTTAAGGCGGGCAGGCCTGCCCTAAACCCTAAAACCCAAAGTCCTAAAGCCCTAAAGCCCTAAACCCTAAAACCCTAAAAACTCTAACACCCTAAAATCCCCAAAAACCCAAAAAATCCTCAAAACCCTAAGACCGGGTTCTTGTTAGGGGATTTTACTTAAGCTACCATATAATGGGGATCTATAGTAAATAATATGGCTTCATGGTTATGGCAACTTAAGTTAAATCCCCTAACAAGAACCCAGTAAACCCTAAACCCTAAATCCTAAACCAACCCAGAAGCGGTGGCCTGGGGGGGGTCTCTCGGGCGCGTTTAAAGCGCAGGTAGGGCTGGCTCAAAGGGGGGTGCAAGGTGTAGGGCTTCGGGTTTGCGGCTTTAGGGTTGTAGGGCTTAGGGTTTAGAGTGTAATTAGGGTTTAGGGTTTGGGTTTTAAGTCGGGACCTCAATTAGATAGAGCTTGGGATCAGGCTTTAGGGTTTAGGGTTCTACCATAGCTAGATTCATCGAGGAGGCATAAGTAAACTGCTGCACTTCCCAGAGAGCCCAATATCCCTTAACTAAGGAATATACCTTAAATCATAATATTTTGAGGCCCCCTATAATTTAAGGTATATTCGGAATAACCTTAAAGCCTAAACCATAAACCCTTACTTGGATTCCTTATTTCAAGCGTATTGGGCTCTCTGCGCTTCCCAGAGCAAACAACAACAAAACACAACACCCGAGCAGGCCCGGCACCTACCCAAAACACATCAGCCTTATGGGGTTTAGGGTTTTAGGGTTTAGGGTTTTAGGGTTTAGGGGTTTAGGGTTTAGGGTTTAGGGTTTTGAGGTTTAGGGTTTTAGGGTTTTAGGATTAATTAAGGGCTTAGGTTTTAGGGCAAAGAGCCCAAAAACCTGCGAAGCAAAACACTCTTCGCTCTAGTCCAACCTAGGCTCAAGACTTGATCCCTAGGACGTTCCGAGAACCATAAACGCTGAACCCAAACATGGACTAAGCCCGAACCCCTAAACCCTAAACCCTAAAACCCTAAACCCTAAACGTGGGTTGAGGCACCTTGCTGTGCTTCAGGAGGCCGTAGATGAGGCCAAGGAGGCCCACTGATTGGCTCAGCGTCAGCTTGCCGATGACTTCGATCTCAGCAGACCCCTTTTAACTCCCCGTAAATCCCATTTAGGGCTTTTGTAGGCCTGGGGTTTAGGGTTTAGGGTTTAGGGTTCCGGATTGCAATAAAATCCAAGAACCCTCATAAATCCCTTAAAAATCTGACTCGAGCCCCTAAGCCCCAAACCATCAATTTGGTGCCCTGTACCCTGGACCCTGAATTTAAACCCCTAAATTAATACACCCTAAACCCCTAAACCCTAAACCCCTACAACCCCTAAAACCCCAAAACCCTAAAACCCCTAAACCCTAAAAGCACTAAATTAGCAAACCCCTAAACTCTAAGCCACCATACCCTAGAGCCTTAGAGCTGACATTGCTGGTCTTTGCAGACTTGGATTTATGGGCACATCGGAAAGTCTCACAATAATGGGGATAGGGCTTGGGGTTTGCGTTTTAGGGATTAGGGCCAGAGACTTTGGGGTTTAGGGATTTGGAGTTGAGGGTTTAGGGCTCAGGGTTGAGGGCTTAGGGATCAGGGTTTGGGGTTGTTAGGCTTACGGGTTAGGATTAGGGTTTGGGGTTTGGGGGAGTTCAGCCTGATGATTTTGCAAGCCCTAAACCCTAAACCCCTAAACCCCTCCTAAACCCCTAAACTCCTAAATCCCCAAAACCCCTAAACCCCTCCTAAACCCCTAAACCCTCCTAGCCAGGTCGCCAGACTGTGAGGTCCCAACAGGGCCTTCACGCCAGTGTAGCCATAGTAGCTCAAGCCGACACCTTTTCTTTCAAGAAGACGGGTCCCTTTAAGGCCAAAAGGCTTCAAAAGTTCTCCCATTACCCAGAGGCTCCATAGTAGTTCCTTTTTGGGATTACCTTGCAGGATCCTGAATATAAACCACAAGAAGGAACTACTATGGAGCCTATGGGTAGTTCTCTGAGGCACTGGAGAGGAGGTACAAGAGGCCAGCGGCCCAGTCGTTGGCCGTCGGCGGCCATGGCTGCGTGTCTACGACACCGTTGATCAGGCCATAGATGCCCGTAACGCCGTTGAAGACAACAGGAATCCTTAGTTGCCAAGTTTCTGCGGGGAAGGAGGGGGGCGGCTAAATGTCAACTTCTGGCAGTATGTATGTCTACATATATATATATATATGTGAAAAGATTTGTGTGCATACATACACATATATACATATATATGTATTTGTATAGACACTATATGTATATGTATGTACAAACTATATAAAGGAAGGTCAAAGAACGAAAGAAAGAGAGAGAGAGAGAGAGAGAGATGGGCGTGCTCCAAAAATGATAAAGGCGACTTATGCGACGTCTAAGAGTCATGGCCTTCATGGCCAAATCAGGCCTCGTTGGAACGATTTCCATGATCGCATATCCGGAAACGGCTGAGCCAACCACACCTCCAGGGGTCACGCAAAGCAAAAAGTCTGCCGCACCAAAGGGTGGCAGGGCTTTGACTTCTTTCAAGTTCATCGAGTCTCTGAAAGAAGGATTTCAAGCAGGGTTTAGGGTTCGGGTTCAGGGGTTTAGGGGTCTCGGGTTTAGGACACCCCTAAACCCTAAACCCTAAACCCTAAACCTCCCAGGGTGGCAAGGAGGAACACCGAAGTAAAGGGCATCACAGTACCAGGATGAATATCGACTTGGCTCTCCAGGGCCACTCCTCCGATCCTTAGTTGCTCAGTTTAGGGGCTTAGGGTTAAGGGTTTTTGTGTTTAGAGTTTAGGGGTTAGGGTTTAGGGTTAAGGGTTTTAGGTTTTAGGTTTTAGGGTTTAGGGTTTAGGGTTAAGGGGTTAGGGGGTTAGGGTTTAGGGGTTTAGGGTTTAGGGCTTAAGGGGTTAGGGGGTTAGGGTTTAGGGGTTTAGGGTTTAGGGTTTAGGGGTTAAGGGGTTAGGGGTTTAGGGTTTAGGG